TCTTGTCTCAGGATCTAAGCATGCAGTTGACCCCCTGCAGCTTCAGGAAGGAAACTGGGCTTCCCAGGGCTGGTTAGATGCAAGTGGGTGCCTTCCTGCCGTTGCTAAATCACTGGAGATCATAGAATCATAGAGTAACTCAGGTTGGAAGGGACCTATAGGGGTCATCATGTCCAACTCCCTGCTCCTCATAGGACTACCTAAAACTAAACCATATGACTGAGGGTGTCATCCAGACGCTCCTTGAACTCTGACAGGCTTGGTGCCATGACCACTGCCCTGGGAAGCCTGTTCCAGGGACCGGCCACCCTCTCGGTGAAGGACCTTTTCCTAATGTCCAGTCTGAACTTCCCCTGATACAGCTTCATCCATTTCCTCATGCCCTATTCCTGGTCACCAGAGAGAGATCAGCACTTCTCCCTCCCCTGCCCCCCTTGAGGAAGTTGTAGACTGCGATGAGGTCACCCCTCAGTGATGAGGTCACTCCTCAGCCTTCTCTTCTCCAAGCTGAACAAACCAAGTGACCTCAGCCACTCCTCGTAAGTCTTGCCCTCGAGGCCTTTCACCATCTTGGTCACCCTCCTCCGCACACACTCTCCTAGTTCGATGTCCTTCTTGTATTGAGGCACTCAAAACTGCACACAGTACTAGAGGTGGGGTCCACACCAGTGCAATGTAGAGTGGGACCATCAACCTCCCCCTCAACCAGCTACCTATGCTGTGCTTGATGTACCCCAGGATATGGTCCAGCGTTAACAGTAATGCCCAGGCACCCAGTCAGATGATCACAGCACCCATTTCAACCCCAGACCCTGCAATGAGCCATGGCAGAGCCAGGAGTCACCCTGCTCTGAGGGGAGTGCTGGGAGCTCATCTTATCCTGGGGGTTGAGTTTTCGTTGTCCTGGGGTCAGAGCCCATGCAGCACTGTTGCCAGGGGTTTCTCCTTGGGCTGACTGACCATCTCTGACTGGTTTTGCTCTGTGTTGTGATGGTTTGGGCAGACTAACACGATGTGTTTTTCTCATGTGAAACAGTTTGCTCTTCCTGACTGGTACTGAATGGCTTGTAATTACCTTAATTATACCTCTCTCCTCTACAGTCAGAGACCAGTACTAATCCAAGTATATCGACATAGACACACACCATCATTTAGCTGGGTGGCTCCTGCAGGGACCTGTCAGCACCCATAATAAGTGCAACGGTAAGACAGTCAAGGAGGGGATGTGAGTCCTGGAGATTTCAGCTGCAGTCAGTAAAGACATGAGGAGGCAGACAACTCCCTTGAGCATGGAGCCTGTCTTCCACATGGTCTGGGCTGAATTCTCCCATGCCTGTTTCTTTATCCTCCCAATATATCACTTATGTAAATGCTGTGATTAGGGAGCCTGTAGCATGACCTGGCATTAAAATAACATAGTCTGTCACAATGCTTCCCAATGCCTTCGGAGCAATGAGTATCAACCAAGGCAGAAATAAATGGCTCCATCTGCTCTTACAGCAAGCCCATCCTTCCCCGCTGACCCAGGAGCATTCAGCTTTCAAAGAGCAATAATATCATTTGGATGAATAATGCTCCAGTCGATAGAAAAAGAAGCTGTGCTGGGGATATCAGGGTTGTTGTTCTGCTTGACATTTCTGGGTGAACACATAATTTCTTTACAAATATGCACTCAGTGGATGAGTTGGGTTTAGCGTCAAGGCCCACATGACTGCCATATACATAATCCTGTGTTAGTCACATCTTTTTTTTTTCCCATGTGGCCACAAAGCAGGATGCTACTGCCAGATGTACCGCAGCAGGCAGCTCCCAGAGTTAGTCTAAAGGCATCAGAGCAAGCCAAGTCCTAGCACTGGGAGAGTGAGGTGAGGACTTAGAGCTCTGGGAGCAGCTGTAGGGGAGGGAACTGTGAGCTCCTACTAGAGCTGGAGTCACAGATTTTTTGCCCTCCAGTCACCAGTTTTAACTTCATCTTCAATAACATCAGGACAAGCACATGAGAGCTGGTCCCACATCTTCCGTTTCTTCTGCCAGAAGCTAGGACTGAGCACAGAAGACACCAGCCTCCTCAGAGGATAATGCCATCTCAACCCACCCACGCTCCTTTTCATCTCAGTAGCCTCCAGACACAACTCTTCTTGCAAGACTGAGCCAAAACAATCTTCTCGCCCTACAGTCCTGGCATCCATTTGTTCCTATTAACATAGGATCTGTTCAAAAGTCAGTGGCGGGTGCTAATGTTCTCCTACTGCCCATCTTGCACACTCAGCTCAGTTCACACTGTTTCTTGAACTGCAGTAACTCAATCATCAGCACATTTAGATGAAGAAAATGGAAAAACATGTTAATACCCACTAGAGGCTGCGATTGCCTGAAAGTTCACACCAACTTGCACTACTACATCAATAAAAGGATCAAATGGAGTCCATTGGATAGGCACCAATTTGCTGGGCTGAGTTCTGCATCAGCCATGTATTTCAATGGATATCTAAACACAAATTGTTTAGTGCCATTTAATAGACTGATGTGTTGTAATCAATTCATGCCAACAGTTTTGACACATGAAAAATATTTTCCACTAGGAAATATTCTCCATTAACAGAATTACTTCATCCTGTGCTCAAGCCATCTCATCAACTGCTTTGCCCAAAAACCAGAAACAGAAGACACTTGACAACAGAGACACCTCACAAATTAGCGTGGCAGAACCTGGGGGGAATATGCAATCCAGAAATATGTGAGAACAAACCCCTGCGCAAGGCCCACGTGGAGCTGGCTGAAGGCTCTCCTGCGTTGCATCTCCCCAGTACCTGACAGTGCCACTGTCTCTGAAAACCACCTGCTGGATGTCTGAGCAATGGGACTTCACCCCTTAGCACAGTCCCACACTGTGGGGAGCTCTGCTAGCGGCAGCCTGGACCCCTGCACTCCCAGCCTGGCACACAGCCTGCCCCCAGCACAGTCAGACATGTGGATGCCGTGCCAGATCTGGCGCAGCCTGCACAAAGGCTGCAGACAGAGCAAGCTGTGTGCAGATTTGCTAATATTAGAACATTACACAGCTTGCTTCTAATGAAGTGTTCATCCTGACTTTGTGCTAGAGAGCAAAATCCTGGTTCTGTGTCCTGTACAGCTTCCTGCCCACAACACCTACCTATGTGCTTCCTGCTCGCACTAATGACTCCCAGCTGGCTCTTGCTCCAGCAGTAGCTAAATCTAGAATAAGTCAATCTTAGCCTAAATTTTTCCCAAATGTTTGGTGTGGCTTTAAATTAAGCCACTTGCATCTTTTTCTTGATTATTTCAGTGAAAAAGCTTTCCTGGAGAGAGATGTTTTTAAAGCAGGGGAAGAGCTAATTGTACACAGTTAAAACAACATTGTCTTCTCCCTTGAGCCTTGACACCACCATGAGCTGCTGCCGTTGTGCACAGGACCCAGTGTGGAGAAGGAGCAATCCTGCTTGAACTCCATGGCTTGGCAATGTTCAGACTACCTGACAGCATGCTGCTGAAAGTTCCTGGCCCTCAAACCCAAGAAGCATCAAACAACTCTGCAGAGCAGGAGAATGAGCCAGGAGCACAGGTTTGCTCTCACCAGGGAAAACTACACTTCAACTGTTTTCCTTCCTAGGCTGAAGAACCACCTCTCAGCACAATGCTCCCAGGACAAGCTACGCCTCTGAGGTGGAGAAAAGGCCCAGAGATGCAAAAGAGATTGCCACGGAAGACCTGGGACTTAAGACCATGTGCTCAAAACCCTATTTTGGTGGTTCAGAAGTGCTGCCCTGATCCCTGATGTACAACCTGTATTGCCCAAAGGTCCTTGGTCATTCTGACAACTTCAGAGCCTGATTTGAGGGCTGATGCTGACAGATATATTCATATGAAAGTCAGACCTCCTGATGTTCCTTAGAGAGGCCAAG